TAAAGGAAAATTATCTCTAAGTCAAACACAGATTGGGCTGGAGGTGGGTGATAGAGGGTCATTTTGGGGTGGGGGGACAGGATTTGAATGGGTAGATTATTCTCAATTGATTCTGAACCTCAAACCCCATTATTCTATGAATCAATGATATATGGGGGACATGCAAGAGAGTTACTTGATGCTACTAGTGATGTTTAAACCATTTGATAATTTAAGCTCTTAGAGAAATGCACAGCTGAAGTAAAAGAAAATCATGCTATTTAATTCTGAATTGTTAACAAGGATTAAAAGGGTTTAAGAGTCTAGAACAGGATCAGTCCTCTGTCAAAAGCTGTTCCCTTTTCCACCATCTTTCCAGAAAGTATACTTCAAATAAAAGGTGACAATGATTTTTAAAGTGGATCTTCAGGATCCGCTTTAAATTTATAGTTCTACCAAGAGCAAGATTAATCAGCTTTTTGTTGTTGTTCGTTTTAACAATTTATCCATCAACACTTTTGATTTAGCCTGCCTACTTTTCCAATTTTCAGTGCATCACATAGGTTCTTTTTGAACATGTCTTTGAAAATCCTACCCTAAATTTGAGACAGGTTTATGTTTGTAGTGGTATATGACATATCTTTTAAAGTTACGAGACTTATTCCAGAAACTTTATGTGAATACACATTTTCTCGCTCTATGTTCATGTCATGTAGGTATATATTGGTATTTAAAGAAATGGTAGAAATAGAATCACAATGGGGATGTTACACTCCTTTTTCTTAAATTATTGCAGAAATCGCTACAGGAATGATGAAGAAAGTTTTGTTCTTGTATACATTTCTTTTTAAATAACAAATATTTATAACCACTAGTTGGGAGCTTCCCACAATACTAGTAAAAAATTGGAGTTAAGATCTTTTAAAAAGTGAATTAACCATCATAACTGATAACTTAAAGGAAAATAACGTCTTTGATTATTAGTAAGACGAATAAGATAGATACTAAACCTGCTACGATGTCAATTACCCAAGAATTTCAGGAGAAATTAGTAATTTCACCTGAGTTTTCTAGATAAGTACCTCAGTTCTTCATTTAAATCTTCTAAGTGATAACTACACTTTTTAAATTAGTACTTAGCTATGTGGTAAGTCACATCTTTTAGGTCATTAAATCATATGTAACAAATTCTCCCTTGTTGTTCAGTGCTATGCTAAAAAAACACAAGAAAATAATACGTCCATCTCAATTGTTGAGCAGCTTATTTCCATGGAGGAATTAAACTTTGTATTTACGTTGGCATCTCTGTCAGGCAGTAGTTCATACCCTAGCCTGACTGTAATGGAAAGCCCAACTTAGAAACACTATTCATATCATGACATTAAACATGAAGCTAGTTTAATGGTCATAACCTCATAACTAGGAACATAGTTGATTTCTCTGAATAACTGAGCTTCTGCAGCAGTTGCCAGAGAACAGACTTTTGGGGTACTCACTGATTGAACCATAAGTAAAAGTGACCTATTATAATGGCTGTCTAATGACTTCTATTAGCATTTGGTTGGGAAGATCAGCTGTATTTGAAGATTCTCTTGGTTTCACATTTTAGTGAAATCATTATGTTAATTAGCATTGAGCAGCTCATTAGATCCCTCAGAGCAGTCAAGAATCAATCAGCGTCTACTGAGGCCCTTTATGTACAAAGCACAGTCTAGGCACTATGAGGACACATAATAGAAGACACCAACTGACCCTAAAGAAACAGGTATTACTCATAAGGAAAAATATATATATATATATATATGGGGAAAAATAATAATAATTATATATTATTATTAATTTTTTCCCATATATATGCATATATATAATAGAAGAATTATATCCAATGGCATGTTACGGGTTGCTAAGTGAGTTATATAGTTATTAAATCTTACTTCAGTGACAACTTGCCTTTAAGCGCCAAACTTATAAAATGCTGCTCTGCATATAAAGTAGCTCAGGAAAATAAGTTAACCTGTAATGACAAAGGCAAAAATTCAAATGGTATACCATAAGCAAGTCTGGGGTATATTTATGATTTTTATGTTGTGCTATAGTCTTTATTTCAGGCTTTTTTATGACTATCTCTATGAGTATGTGTTGAACAAAGGAATCCTCTGATTATCATTTGTCAGTTGTTGATCAATGCTGAGCATTCAAAAGGGGAACAATATATTTATTGACAATATAATATTTAATTATAGATGTTTTTCATAATAGCTCTTAGTATATCAAAATCATTATCATCAGGCAATTAGAAAAGAAAAGGAATTCATATTGGAAAAGAAGAAGGAAAACTCTATCTCTGCTTGCAGATATCGTATTTATTGAAAATTCCAAAGAATATACCAAAAAAAAAAAAAATACCATTAGAACTAATAAATGAGTTCAGCAAGATTGAAGAATATACGATCAACATAGACAAATAAATTGTATTTCTACCAGTGAACAATAATTCCAAAAATGAAAACTATTTCATGTATAGTGGCATTAGAAAGGATAAGTTAAAGAAGAGAATATAAGGCTTGAACAAAGAAAACTACAAAGTATCAATGAAAATCAGAGGAGAATTAAATAGTAGACAGATATCCCATGTTCATGAATTGGAAGACTTATTAAGAAGGCAATAGTCGAGCCGGGCTCGGTGGCTCAGCCTGTAATCCCGCGCCTTTGGGAGGCTGAGGTGAGTGGATTGCCTGAGCCCGCGGGTTCGAGATCTGCCAGGGCAGTGAGACCTCATCTCTATAATAAATCAAAAAATCAGCCAGGCATGGTAGCGCATGCCTGTGATTCCGGCTACTTGGAAGGCTGAGGCAGAAGGATCGCCGGAGCCCAGCAGGTCGAGGCTGCGGTGGCCGGGA